GGAGGTGGCCAGCCCCATGGCCAAGTGGTTAAATTTCTGCATGCTCCACTTCGGGCCTGGGGTTTGCTGGTTCAGATCCCAGGTGTGGACCTGTCCCACTCACTGGCCACAATGTGGAGGCATCTCACATACAAAGTAGAGGGAGATTGCCACAGATGTTAGCTCAGGGCTAATCTTCCTCAAGCTAAAAAATAGAAGGATTGGCAATGGGCGTTAGCTTAGGGTGAATCTTCCCCCTCCACACACACACAAAAGGACACAGGGAAAATGTTTGTCTCTTTGCCTACAAGAGAGATGACTTTGTTTAACATAGGAGGCACCCCCTACTTCATTTCTCTATTTTGGGGATTAAAGTACTGGCTTATAAAAACTTGAGGTAAAACATACATAACATAAAATGTACCATATTAACCATTTTTAAGTTTACACTTCAGTGGAGTTAGGTACCTTTATATTGTTGTGAAACCATTACCATCATTCACCTCCAGAATTTTTTCATCTTCCCAACTGAAACGGGACCCATTAAACAATAACTGCCCATTCTTCCACACCCCCAACCTGGCAGCCACCCTTCTACTTTCTGTCTCTTTGAATTTGACTTCTAAGTACATCCTGTAAGTGGAATCATACAATGCGTGTCCTTTTGTGTCTGGCTTATTTCACTCAGCATGGTGTCCTCAAAGTTCAACATGTGGTAGCAGGGGTCATAATTTCCTTCTTTCTTTAGGCCAAATAATATTCCACTGTATGTATAGGGCACATTTTGTTTATCCATGCATATGGATGGACATTTGCTTTGTTTCTACCTTTGGCTGTTGTTAAAAATGCTGCTATGAACTTTGGTGTGCAAGTATCTGTTTGAGTCTCTGCTTTCAGTTCTTTGAGGTGTATACCTAGAACTGGAATTGCTGGATTTTATGGTCCTTCATGTTTAACTTTGTTTTTTTTTTTTTTTAGTTTTCCTGGTTTTTTCTCCCCAAAGCCCCCGTATGTAGCTGTATATCCTAGTTGTAAGTAACTATAGTTCTTCTATGTGGGATGCTTCCACAGCAGGCTTGACAAGTGGTATGTAGGTCCACGCTCAGGATCTAAACTGGCGAACCCCAGGCCACCGAAGCAGAGTGTGCAAACTTAACCACGCGTCCACGGGGCCAGCCCGCATCTTTAACTTTTTAAGGAAGCATCAAACTGTTTTCCACAGTGGTTGCACTATTTTCCATTCCCACCATGAATACATGAATGTTCCAATTTCTCCACATCCTCACCAACACCTGTTATTTTGTTATTGTTGTTATTTTAAAATAATAGACATCCTAAGAGATATAAAGTGGTATCTCATTGTAGTTTTGATTTGCATTTCCCTAATGATTGGTGATGTTGGGCATCTTTTTATGTGCTTATTGGACATTTGTATATCTTTTTTGGAGAAATACCTATTCAAATCCTTTGCCCATTTTTTAATCAGCTTGTTTATTTTTGTTATTGTTGAGTTATAGAAGTTCTTTATATATTCTGGATATTAATCCCTTACCAGATATATGATTGCAAACATTTTCTCCCATTCCATGGTTTGCTTTTTTACTCTATTAATAGTGTCCTTTGATGCACAAAAGTTTTTATTTTGAGGAAATGCAATTTGCCCAATTTTTTCTTTTGTTGCCTGTGCTTTTCATGTCATAAACAAGAATCCATTGCCAAATCCAATGTCATTAAGCATTTCCCCTATGTTTTCTTCTAAGAGGTTTGCAGTTTTAGGTCTTATGTTTAAGCTTTGATCCATTTTTTATTAACTTATGTATGAATGTGTAAATTAAGGGTCCAACTTTATTCTTTGCATGTGGATACGCAGTTTTCCCAAAATCATTGTTGAAAAGGCTGTCCTTTCCCCTATTCATGGACTTGGCACCTTTGTTGACAATCATTTGGCCTGTCTTAGTCTATTTGGGCTGCTATAACAAAAATACCATAAACTACTTGGCTTATAACAACAAATATTTATTTTTCCCCATACTGGAGGCTGACAAGTCCAAGATTATGGCACCAGCTGATTTACTATCTGGTGAGAGCCCACTTCCACAGAGACGGCTGTCTTTTCACTATAACATCACCTGGCAGAAGGGCCAAGGGAGCATTCTCAGGTCTCTTTCATAAGGGCATTAATTCCTTTCATGAGGGCTCTGCCTCCCAATGGTCCCACCTCCTAATACCAGCACATTGGGCATTAGGTTTCTAGCATATGAATTTTGGGGAGACACAAATATTCAGACCAAAGCATGAACATATGTGGGAGAGTTTGTTTCTGAGCTCTCTATTCTATTCCATTGGTCTATATGCCCATCTTTATGTCACTACTACACTGTTTTGATTACTATAGCTTTAAGGTAAGTGTTGAAATGAAGAAATGTGAGTCCTGCAGTTTTGTTCTTCTTTTTAAAGATTTTTTTAGCTATTCATAGTCCCTTGAGATTCCATATGAATTTTAGGATGGATTTTTCTATTTCTGTGGAAAAACACCTTTGGGATTTTGATAGGGATTACACTCAGTCTGTAGGTCTCAGACTTTGGGTAGTCACGACATCTTGACAAGGTTAAGTCTTCCAATCCATGACCATGGGATGTCTATTTGTGTCTTCTTTAATTTTTTTCAGCAACATTTTATATTTTTCAATGTACCAGTGTTTTTTCTCTTTAATTAAGTTTATCCCTAAGTATTTTATACTTTTTGATGCTATTGTAAGTGGAATTATTTTTTTGATTTCCTTTTCAGACTATTCATTGTTAGTGATACAGAAATGCTCTGGTTAGAACTTCCATTACTATGATGAGTAGATGTAGTGAAAGTCTTGTCTTGTTCCTGATCTTAGAGGAAAAGCTTCTGGTCTTTCACCATTGAGTATGATATTAACTGTGGGGTTTTCATATATAGCCTTTATTATAGATGAAGCATCCTGTACTTGTCTGTTAGGTCCAATTGGTTGATAGTGTTGTTCAAGTCCTCTATTTCCTCACCGATACCCTGTCTGGGTTTATATCTGTTATTGTAAATGGAGTGTTGAAGTCATCAACTATTACTGTAGGACTGTATTTCTCTCTTCAGTTCTGTCAATGTTTGTTTTATAGCTAGGCCTCTATGTAGATACAAGCTGCTCTGACTCACAGCTAGGCTATTTTGTTCTCCTATCAGACATAAATAATCTCACAGAATATTAACTTCAGACAAGATTATTCTGAGACCATGATAAATTAATCAAAACCACGGACACTTCATACTGTTGTCTAAGTACAGACAAAAACAAGAGAACTGTGCCACCCACAAAATAATCGTTAAATTGCCCTGCTTTCTGATAGCATCTAATCTAGAATAAACACCCTACTCCCTGAGACTTTACCTTAAATCATCCAGTCAAAACTCAAATCCTTTAAGAGGTTCTTTCTAACTCCTCTTACTAAGATACCCCACAGCTTCCCATGATGTTGTTCTTCCTCACTGTAACATAATTGTTTACCCACAAGTGTGTTCCTGGTGATCTTGGACTGAACACCTCTGACAGGGTCCCTGGTGAAGAGGTCCCTGGGCACTAAGTCAGGCCCCACTTCAGGACCCTGTACATGACAGGGTGGGCATACCTTTGTATGCATGAGCCTAGAAGGAAATACAGATTGGAAACATAATCCAGAGAACTAAGCCTATGAATTTTATACTTAGTAACCTGAGACTTAATAAGCACCTGCCATTTGGCAAAAGCTCAGTGTCCCTCAAAGTAGTGGCTGGCCTAAGATCTGGGGAGTTGAGGAGAGGGGCCTGGGACAAGGGGACCAGGTAGTGGAGCTCCTAGGAGGCCACAAGCCATCACTTGCCTATTGGGAGTTCAGAGGTAAGACAGTCTGACTTCCCACCAGATGCAAAGCTCTTTGCCTTTAATCTTTACTTATCCAGTTTTTCTCTTTGCCTCAGCTGCCTGGAAGTTGTACTTTTCATATAAAGCTGTATTTCTGGTATAAACAGGTCTCAGCTATTTTTTGATTATTTCCCTATTGTTAAAGAAAAGTTATTCTGACACTCGTTAAAACAGTAAGGCAGACTTCATTCAGGACCATAATGATAGGTGTGGGGACTACTGCAAAGGGGTTTTGCAGTAGAGGAAAGAGATTGGGCTCAACTCTGAAAACAAGGATAAGAGGGGGATTTATAGCCAAGGAGCAAGGCAAGGCTTAGTAAATGGAAAATTACTGAGGAAACACCAAGACTATGGTGATTCTTCCTAGGGGACTCAGCAATATTCTTGCTGAAAGCAGGCCAGGTGATAAGATATGGAGGGTTAAAATGAATAATTTGATCAGATATCAAAGGGGATCAGATACCAAGGATGGGGGATTTTCACTAAACTGACTCAGTAGGATTCTTGCCAAAACCGGACTAAGCAGTCCAAGGACAGAGCCCCAGGTCGAGGCCTAGTGGGGATGAGGGCTAAGAGGAGTCTGACTCAGCTTTGGTCAAGGACAGTCTTTGTCACCATCTTGATGGCTCTAAAAATCCATAGGGGTGATGAATACAGCCATCCCGACATGCGATGGTTTGACATGATTTTTCAGATTTACAATGGTGTGAAAGTGATATGCATTCAGTAGAAACTACAATTCAAATTTTTAATTTTGATCTTTCCGTGGGCTAGCGATATGCCCTACCACACTCTCTGGTGATGCTGCACAGTGGCAGCAAGCCCAGCTCCCAGTCAGGCTCCAGATCGCAAGGGTAAACAACCAATAAACTTACAACCACTCTGTACCCATACAACCATTCTATTTTTCACTTTTAGTACAGTATTCAATCAATTACATGAGATATTCAACTCTTTGTTATAAAACAGGCTTGGTGTTAAATGACTTGGCCCAAGTGTAGGCTCACTTAAGCGCTCTTGAAACCAGCTCAACACAAGGTTGACATAAGGGAAGCCATATTGTAGAAAAGAGACCATGTAGTAACTTTGAATGACCTCTGCCTAACTAACTCAGCTGGATTTGCACCCTCCAGGAGATCCACCTGCTATGACCTCTGCTAGTGCATATACCTTCCAGCTGCCATAGGAGATAACTTCCTTCCTCTGCGTTTCTTAGGAATGTGATGACCCCCAAACAGAGCATCTATGCTGATAGTCACCATCAATGAAAACTGAAAGATCTGGTGTGGCAACTCCCAGTCTGTAGCACCAGAGGGTCAACTTCCCTAGACCCTTCCTTCCCCTATAACCCACTGGCCTATATAACTGCTTCAAGATCCCGTGCCCCCCTTAAGATGGTTCTTTTGGACATTAGTCGGCCACCTTCCCTCTTGCTAGCAGGCTGTAATAAAATGCCCTTTCTCCGCCACCATCTTGCCTCTTGAGGATTGGCTTCTGTCTCCCTGTGAGCAGATTGTGCCCTTTGTGCCTAGCACTTTGAGCCATTTAAGGGAGGCTCGGCTAAGCTGGGATGCTGGGCACGTTAGACGTATGAACTACACGCTCTGAATATCTTAGGCTATTCTCCATTTACCGTGGGTTCACCCTGACCTAACTCCATCCTAAACCGGGGGAGATCCGTACAACAGGGAAGTGTGCCAGCGAGTTAAACGCTGGGCTCGCGGGCCATTCTCAAGCCCGGCTGTCCTCTGAGAAGCAGGCCCGCACGGAAAGGCTGCTACGGCCCTGAGAGCGAGCCCGCCCGGGCAGCTCCGCAGCCGCAGCCGCAGCTGGGCGGTCACGCGCCCCCGTAGGCCCCTCACGGCCGCCGGCCACCGCGACCTCATGCGCAGGCGACGGACGCGAAGCCCCCTGCTGGCCGAGCCGAGCGCCGCGCCACGCTGGGCCATGCCCGCGGCCCCCATCCCGAGGCAGAGCCCGCCCCCTGCCCCGTCCACACAGGGCCCATTGCCGGGCCGCGGCTCTGACTCTTCCAGTTCGGGGCTTTTTCCAGACTCGCTCCTGCGGGAGTCTGGACCCGAACCTGCCCGCCCCGCATCCTCCGCTCCCACCAGAGAGAATTTGTAGGGTCCCCAGCAGGCCTCAGCGCAGTGGGAAGATACGCCTGCCCAATATGGCCGCCCCCGAAGCAAAACTGTGACGTGGACGCCGCCATCTTGTCCCTGGGCCTGAGCGGGCGGAGGACGCCATGTTTGTTACTGGCGGCGGCCGGGCTGGAGGGCTCTGTCTGGCTAAGTTCAAGTTGCCTCGTGAATGTTGGGACCTTGATTCCACTGTTTAGTGCCTTTGTGACCTTGGGCAAGTTTCTTCAGCTCTCTGCCTCTCTATTGAGAGATTTGAATGAGTTAATACAAGTGCATGGCATCGAGTAATTGCTCAACAAATGTTGGCTAGTAAGTTGTTATATTTACTCTCATTTTTAGTTCCTTCCTCACAGATGGCAGTTGTAACATCATCCACTTTTTACTAGATTGAAATGTCAACTTTTATATGAATGAATTTATGAGAATTTGATCGCATTGCTTCCTATGGGGATGGCTGAATGAATTATGAGCTGTGTCTGGGTCACAGGCCACACGGCAGCTTCGCTTAAGCCAATAAACAGAAAGATCTGCCTTCCTTGCATTCCTTCCCTCAAACTCCTTTATTCAGAAAGTGTTGATGGTGCACCCAAGTGTACCAAGAAGCAGTGATCCGGGTAAAGATGTTCATGTTACGGTGCGGATGACAGGCATTGTGCGTATCTACAGATGAGGAAGGTGATTTCACGCCGTGTTAAGCGCAGTGAGAAAAATGGTATAACAGGGTTGTGTGACTGGGAAGCCACAGGAAGGTGTTAAATAGGGGAGTGAAGAGATCTGTTTTGCGTTTAAAAACCACTCTGGGGGTGGGGGTGGGGAGGGGGAGAGTGTCCTGGGGACTTTATTATGGCCTATGTGTAAAATAATCAGTGTTAAAGAACAACATGAAGAACATTGTAGGGAAAAGAGCAGTTAGAGCTAAAGCAGGCAAGCCTTGATGGAGCCATGGGGCAGAATGTTCACAAAGTTCCCAGTGCGATTTCCTCCCCTACCCGTGTTTTTCTAGCATAGAATCATAGCAGGTGGATTGAGGTCACATAGTGGCCCTTGACCTTCAGCGACCCCAGGTCCCAGGAGCAGTGACCTGGGAGCCTCTGGGGACTGGGAAAGAGGGTTCCTGGGCCAGGTCATTGTTTCTTCCTCAGGGTACAGGGACACATTTCAGCAGTAAAATTTTGTATCACATTTTATCCCCCAGGTACTGTCAGCCTCATTTGTGGGAGCCTGGGGTCATGTCTCTGCCCTTATGAGGCATGGGCAGGGCAAGCAGCCCATCTGGGGCAGGGCCAGGGCTTCATTTTCACTGGAAGAGGCTGTGCTCGCCTTAACAGGGGCTCAGAGTGTCCAGGAGTGCTGGTTCCATGTGAAGTTATGTGGGTCACCTATGTCATGGACAGTGTCTAAGCAGGCTACTTCGGGATTAAACAAAGTGCATCAGACCCAAATGGCGAATGACCATCAAGGGTGTGCCCTGTGCTTAGCACCTCACAAGCTCTAACAAGTATTGTCATCTTCCTGTCCTCCTAGCCTGCAGGTCCATGTCTTCTGGCCTCTCCCATCTGCCTGACTCCAGAGCTGGTTTGATGGTACTTTTCCTGGATTGCGGCCTGCAGCCTGCATTCCTCTGTTCTGTGGTTGTCCCTACAGAGCACCTGGGTCAGGCACAGCCCCCGTGCAGTCCCCCACCAGCCTCTTCCCATTAGAGTCCCAGGGACTCGGTCTGGATGCCAGTAGCTTCCCTTGTCTCAGGGTCCGCAGGAGAGGATCAGATAGGGTAAGGACCAGGGACTCTGCCCAGGAAGAAGTCCTTGCCCTGAGGCAAGGACAGCAAGGCCAGAGTGTCCGCCATTCCTCCAGACTACAGAGGATGACCCAGGTCCAGGTGAGCCAGGCTTGTGTTTACACATCCACACTTACCACTCTTTGCTTGCCAATGGATTTCAGGAAGTTTTTGCATTCCATACAATTGAAAGGAAAAAACAGGAGGCCTCATGATCTGGGAGTAAGTGGTACAGAAAAAGAGCATTTGGAGAACATCCACTCAAAGGAAATCTCCTGGAAATTATAGGGGGAAATCTCCTGGGAAATTGTAGGGGGAAATATCTTATGAGACTTGATTTTGAAAAATCAGCTGAAGATAATGAAGCAAAGTTTATCTTTTTACATAAAATCGGATTGCATTTGCAGCTTCACACTAATTCTTAGAAAGGACAGAGAATGATGAGGCTTGATTGCTCTTCAGCTTTGTTACGGAAAGTTTCAAACACAAACAAAAGTAGAACAGTAGCAGGAACCTCCATGTATCATTGTCCAGCTTCAGCCATCATCAGTTTGTGTGATTGTTTTTTATTGGGTATAATTTTCCCCACAAAATTAGATAGCCAGGGTCTGCAGAGGCCCATTCAGTGGTTTACATTTTTGGCAGTTCTGAGCAGTGAAGCAGGGAACTTCCTCATACACGTGCATATGGTCAGGGAGCAAGCCAGTTTCAGGGTTGCTGCTGGCAGTGGAACTACCAAGTTGAAGCGTTTTCAAGATGCTGATGGATGCAGCCAGTCTGACTTCCATTAACAGTATGAGAAACTGCCCGTGATGCTAGCCCTCGGGTGGGAAGTGTGTGTTATACGTGCTTTTGACTACTTGGATCGTCACTGTTGGGATACATGAGAAACTAGCAAGAGTGATTGTTCTGACCTCAGGAATGAGAGAATGGGGCCTAGGGTGGGAGAAACAGCTTGCTTTTCTGTGTAATGCTTTTACACTTTGTAAATCTTGTGGATGTGCCTGTGCGTGTGTTTTACCATACATATATTATTTTTAAAAAGATGAAATAATTTCAAATATTTGGCCAGTCTAATGGGTTGTATCTCATTTTGCATTTCTTAATGACTTTTTATGGAATTGGTAATCTTTTTTTTTAAAGATTGGCACGTGAGCTAACATCTGTTTCCAATTTTCTTGTTTTTTTCTTCTTCTCCCCAAAGCCCCCCAATGCATAGTTGTATGTTCTAGTTGTAGGTCGTTCTGATTGTGCTCTGTGGGACGCCGCCTCAGCGTGACTTAATGAGCGGTGCCGTGTTCGTGCCCAGGATCCAAACTGCCACTGCAGCAGAGTGCGCAAACTTAACCACTCGGCCCGGGGCTGCTGCTTCTTAACGATTTTTAAGATTGAGCATCTTTTGTATGTTTTCATTGCCATTTGTATTTCTGTTTCCATTGATTGCATTTCCTTGGCCCATTATTTTGCATTTTTCATTTTTATCGAGTGATAGGAGCACATGCATATTTTGAGTAGCCATCTGTCTTCCTTATTTTCAGTAAGTTCCACATATTTTCTCCTAGGCGGTCATATTATTTTATAGAGAGTTTTATTTTTAATTAAGTTTAATCTTTTTCATTATTATTGGTATGTAGAACTCAATGGATTTTTTTTTTTAGATAAAGGAAGGTGATTTTATTTCTCTCATCTGAAAATTTAATGGATGGAGTCACATAGATATTTTTAGCTCTTTTAGGTCAAAAGAAAGGAAGGAGGACAAGAACAGAAAGGAGACAAGCCTAAGGAACTTGCTATTTAGTCTATAGTTAATATGAAGAGGTGGCTTTGGCACCACAGAAGAAATTAAATCATAGTTGATTATGCCTGTTCCTAAAGGGAGTCAGTCTCGCGAGCAAAAGTCAGCAACAACTCAAGTATCTACGTAGAGCATGGGAGTCCCCGAACAGAGTTGTCTTCCAGTTCCTCTGGCTCTCCCCACCAAAGACACAGACATGTCCAACAGCAATATCCTAGCAAATGTCCTGTCGATGAAAATAATCCATAACCAATCTATAAATGAAAATTTGGGTGAGTTTATTCTGAGCTAAAATGTGAGGACCATGGCCTGGGGCCTTTCTTCCCAGAGGAAGAAAGGGCACCGAAGAAGTGGGGTGCACAGAGTGGTTATATACCCCCAAACAGGATGTTTCACATAGGATTGAAATGTCCCTTTTACAAAAGTCGCGAGACTGCTCTGTCGGCACAGCAACTGATGGACACAGCAGGTAGGTCTGCTGTCTCGGTGGACACAACAGGGTGGCAGGTCTGTTTCTTCCAGCTGGGTGATCACAGGTGAGCTGGATGGTCAAAGCTGAGTGCAGCAATCAGTTCCTAGCCTAAGGAAAGATGCTTATCCTTAAGGAAATGCCAATGTGGGGGGAAGTTGCACCTTTATCTTATGGCCGTTTGTTTCTTGCCATAGTAAATGTTTAAAGTAGATATGCATGCAATGCATGCTCAATGGCCACGGTCAGGTCCTTTTGGGAAAAAAAAACAAAGTCAGGCCGAATTAGGTTTACACCAAACGGCTTCCTCATGTACTCCAATGTATCCTATTGCTTGCCATTTCTATTTGTCAGTCCTTACAGTTTCAGGATGAGAACTTCCCACTATAAGACCAGAAAAGGACTCCTGGAGAGGAATGGGGAGTGTTCCCCACCAAAGAGCTGAGGCTGGGGAAAGATAGTTTTCTGTGTTTCTGCCTTGTAGGTGGGCCGATGCTGAAGTCGACTAGACTCTAGCAATTCTGCTTTGAAGATGGAGCACCCACTAGGTGTAACAAGGTGCCCAGCTAGGTGTGGGTTGGTGAGACAGCAAGAGCCAGGCCAGCTCAAAGTCAGAGGCTCAGTCTTCTAGTGCTGGGTCCACTTGATGCTCAAGGTCAATGCCAAGCCTACACCATCGCCCAGAGGGCTCATCTCTCAGACACTTCACGTGCTGAGTGCGCTTCTCCACTGTCTAGTCCGTAGTTATCTAGCAACCTTGGTGAGCATTCTTGTTAAGTCTAATTGTCTGTACTCTCTTGGTGTGGACCTTTTTTGGTCCCTCTGTGAAGTCTAGCACCCAATACAATTCCTGATAGTCTTGGTGATTATTACCGTCCTAGTCTGGTGTCTTATTTTACTTTAACATTTCTTAACATTTCACTGTTAACTATAATGATGCTGTTAGGTTAACTATAATAATGATCTTTGCCTACCCAAAGTTTATAAAAATATTCTTTTATTCCCTAGAAGCTTTATGCTTTTAAACACATCAGTTTACATCTGAAATTAATTTGTGTATGTCTTATTTTTGAGAGTTTAGCTAAACTGCTCCATAATATTGCTGCCTCAGCTCTGTTCCGTGTGGCCAAGTGGCCTGCAGGGGCCTTGAACTGACACCAGCCCCTCCATCTGGCAATGCCCCAGATAATAGGCTGCGGAGTCACAATAAATCCAAGTTCCTGATATGACTTCCCCAGTGGCCCTTGTGATAAGCAGTCTCCCCTGCC